AGTTGAGAGGCGGGACCAAAGGGCCAAAGCTCAACCCCCTACAAGCACAATTTGATGAGTACACACACCTTTGTGCATCTGCTCGCAATCTACATAAACAAATGTGGATAGGGATAATGATAAGTAGATGAACTAGATGCACCAGTTTAATATATTACTCTCTACAGCAGAGACACAACACACAACTGTTATATGACTGTAGAAGGAGAAATATTTGACTGTTATGGGCATAGGAAGTCTTGACCACTCTTACTAACTCCACTCAGTGTGGATCAACAGTGCACATACACACATACACACACACACACATTATCTCTCTCTCTCTCTCTCTCTCTCTCTCTCTCTCTCTCTCTCTCTCTCTCTCTCTCTCTCTCTCCTCTCTCTCTCTCTCTCTCCTCTCTCTCTCTCTCTCTCTATATATATATATATATATATATATATTATATATATTTATATATAAAGATATATAAGGATAAAGACCAAGCTACTATATATGCATTTATCCTTATAGAGATATAAGGATAAATGCATATATAATAGCTTGGTGTAGTGTGCCAAGGAGAGATTGGACAGTAGTTGCAGAGAGTTGGTTACTATCCGGCTTGGATAAGCAGCCACGTCTGCTCACCCTATCGTGGAGTGACAACATTTACAACCAGTCTTAAGAGGCTGGTGGGGAGGGAGGGAGAGGGGGCAGAGGTGATGGTTGGGTAGTTAGGGGTTGTAATTAAGGCCAATCAACCGCCGAAGGGTTGTTAAGATCACGACAATTGCTTATTGATTAGCCTGTAGGTATACGTTAGTCTTGTATAGAGTCCAGGATTATAGTCAACTCTCTCTGTATGCTCAGAGAGAGCATACAGAGAGGTATAATATATACCTCTCTGTATGCTCCTCTCTGATACCCATATAATTGGGTATACACTCTCAGGGAGTATATCTTTGGAGGGGATGGGGGAGGGGCTGTATCAGACCGATGATAAGTATGATAAGTATGATAAGTGTATTCTGGGACGAGGCTTTTATCTGCTGACGACGCACTTTGGCTGACTGATAAACCGCAGTTCTTAGTACATCAAGTTTTTTATTTTGTAATATTTTAGCTATTTAGTTTTATCAACTAAAATTCGTCGAATGTGAGTGAGAGTGTGTGAACTAGTGGTCGCTGCGGCCACTTGTTTGTATATGGTCTATCACCCTCTCATTACCCCCCCCGTCACTATCACCCCCCTCACTATCACCATCACCCCTCTCCCCCCTTCCCACATAACCTCCACCTTCCTAACATAAACCATGTTGCAGCTGCACTCGTGACTGTAAGCTTCGGTTACCTGACCTGACACCTCCTGATGGCTGGTCTGGGCACACCAGAGTCTGAGGCCAGCACCTGACCTACAAGGGACTAGTGCAGGTGTGCACACACACACACACACACACACACACACACACACACACACACACACACACACACACACACACACACACACACACACACACACCCTACATGTGCAGTACGCGAATAAAATATAAATATTTGTTCTAAATATTTTCCTTCTTTATTGGTTTGTTTGAGGCTTCACGCTCCGTGTAATATCGAAGCTAATGCCGGGAGCTCAGGGGACAGTGTTGACTTTATCCAAGCAAAACTGTTCCGATGGCTTAAGATGGACTAGAGCGCCATGTCGACTCCAAACTGATGCAATCGGAGCCGTTAACTTCAGCACCAAACAGTGGTAAAATATTCGAAGAAATCAATCTATATCTTAGGTACCAAATAGACTCTGGAAAGCACAAAGTCATAGCATTTTTGAAGCCTTTGGTAGAACACGACACACACACACACACACACACACACACACACACACACCACACACACACACACACACACACACACACACACACACACACATTATCTCGGTGGGGGCCTGGTAGCCTGGTGGATAGCGCAGGACTCGTAATTCTGTGGCGCGAGTTCGATTCCCGCACCAGGCAGAAACAAATGGGCAAAGTTTCTTTCACCCTGAATGCCCCTGTTACCTAGCAGTAAATAGGTACCTGGGAGTTAGTCAGCTGTCACAGGCTGCTTCCTAGTGTGTGTGTGTGGTGTAGAGAGAGAAAAAAAAAAAGTAGTTAGTAAACAGTTGATTGACAGTTGACAGGCGGGCCGAAAGAGCAAAGCTCAACCCCCGCAAACACAACTAGGTGAATACAACTAGGTGAATACACTTTCTTTTATTTTTCAAAGCAGTTAACAGATGGAATGCACTACGAAGTGATGTGGTGGAGGATGACTCCATACATAGTTTCAAATATAGATATGATAGAGCCCAATAGGCTCAGAAATCTGTACACCTGTTGATTGACAGTTGATAGGAGGGACCAAAGAGCCGGAGCTCAAGCTCCGCAAGCACAACTAGTTGAGTACACAAATAAGAGATACATTTGGAATCTAAACACAGTCTTGGTGTGTCGTAATTCCAGTCTTCACAGGGTATCAGATCACCTCTTTCTGGTGCTGTATAGAGGACTTTCTGGTGCGTTCGCCTTTCTATTGTGGACTTTCGGCGCCGTGGAGAGGGAGGACCTGCTGCCTGGGTAACAGCTTCTCCTCCATACCAACCTACCCCTGGCTTTGCGCCCTAGTGAAGCCACTCCAGAGCACAACACCATAGTCTCCTGAGACTGATGGATGCCTACTAATAGAGGACGGGAGTGTTCCTCTCTTGCTGTAATGAGTTAAGAATGTCATTTTGAAGAGGTGGGTTACACCGTATTTCTCACATCTGGTCAGAATTTCAATAATGGTTTCTTTCCAAATGTTTCTTTCAAGGCTTTCTGTCACACTGAACCCCGCCCCCTCTCCCCCCCCCCTGTTGATTGTCTGAGTTTCTTGACTGAATTCCTATTATGCAGATTCTTCAACACTTAATTTGTTAATAATCATTTAAAGATTACGAGGAGTAATGTACACGTGTGGTGTTTATATATATATATATATATATATATATATATATATATATATATATATATATATATATATATATATATATATATATATATATATATATATAAAAAATATATATATATTATATATATATATGTATAGTTAGTGTTTGAAAGCAATTTGGCCAATATCTTTCTTAGGAAGAATATTCCCACCGAGAAGTATACCCTGCTTCATGCTGTATATACACAGAATTGAACTGAATCCTGAAACATATTCAGGACCAAAGAACACTTGTTGGTTAGTAACTAAACTGTTGTGGTGGTTTTAACAACGTTACAGAGGTTGGCAGACCATAAGTCCAATACCAAACCAATCTTACTACACGAAAACTTGAGAGTTGAGAGAAGCTGACATTTCACTTACGATACACCAGATGCGACAAGCACTTAAGGAAACTAAGGAAACACTTAAGTCAATCTTGTGAAGTATGTAAACAGTGAGTGCAGATTTAGATCAGTACAGCTTTCCTGATTTCAATAAAAGCTTACAGAGGAGATGCGGTCCATGTAACACCAATATATATATATATATATATATATATATTATATATATATATATATATATATATATATATATATAATATATATATAGTATATATATATATATATAGTGTTTAAATTAATTAATATTCACTACACATGTGTCCAATGGACTTACCCTGCAAAATATTGTGCCAAACGTTACTTTAATAAGAGAAAACGTAAAGCTGTGAAAGATTAGCAAAATATGTATACAGGCTGTATTATAACCGCCTCCCCAAACCGGTTATAATTATTATGTAATGATTGAATACTCCAGTATATATACATATATACCAGTTCATATACACATGTCTATACAACACACAACAGTAATTGTTAATATAAAACATAAAAGCAGTCTATATATATATATATATATATATATATATATATATATATATATATATATTAATATATATATATATATATATAATATATATATATATGCAGGCTGCCTTATACAGGGCTAGTATAGGTTAACAGGCATGTGATAAAGTAAAGGTGATTAAGATGAATTAACTGACAATCTATGAGAAAGGTGATAATGTGAGAAATATATATATATATATATATATATATATATATATATATATATATATATATATATATATATAGATATATATATATATATATAATATATAATATATATATATATATATATATATATATATATATATATATATATATATATATCTATATATATATATATATATATATATATATGTCGTACCTAGTAGACATAACGCCACTCTCGGCCTACTATGCAAGACCCGATTGCCTAATAGGCCGAGTGATTTTCTTTATTTTCAATAATTGTTTCCAATTAGTTTACTGGAATTATTATTATTATCGTATATTAGGAACATAATTTATTGACTTAGTTGTGTTAGTTTAGGTTAGGTTTAGATAAGTAGGTTAGGTTAGGTAGGGTTGGTTAGGTCGGTCATATATCTACGTTAGTTTTAACTCAAACCAAAACAATGTCATACATAGTAAAATTACTAGCTTTATCATTTCATAAGACAAAAAATCGAAAAAATGTAAATTCTGGAAAACTTGGCATATGAGGCAAATCGAGCATGTATAGTAGGCGAGTAGGCGTCTGGATACTAGGTAAACTATATATATATAAATATATATATATATATATATATATATATATATATATATGTCGTAAGTAGCCAGACTCATTTTATATATCAAGGCCTGATTTGCCTATAATGCCAATATTATATATACTAATATGATATAAAGCTACCCATTTCATTATGTATAGGGCCGATTTTTATGGATAAAATTAACGTAGATATATGATAACCAACTATATATATATTATATATAAGGTATATATATATATATATATATAGACGAAAAACATTAATAAATATATTAAAATCATAGTATGAGAAGTAAAATATATATATATATATATATATATATATATATATTATATATATATATATATATATATAATCATTACAGAAGAAAATCTATAATATATATTCCAGATTGATTATAGAATTCAATAAGTATTTTACACTATTGTATAATGCAAAATTTCCATATAGTAGTATCACATGATATATACAGATTCACACTGCATACTGATCAAGTCTCTATGTATATCCTAGTTGATTGATGGTTGAAAGGCGGGACCAGAGAGCCGAAGCTGAGCCCACGCAAGCACAACTAGGTGAGTACAAGAGTGTACTACATTCCTACGTACACAAAATGGTCGTTGACGGCCACACCTGCACCCCGTGGGGGTGAGGGCGTCTTCTGGGTCTCTGGTAGCTCTCAGCTGCTGTATGTAGCTCTCAGCTCTATATGTAGCTCTCAGCTGCTGTTATGTAGCTCTCAGCTGCTGTATGTAGCTCTCAGCTGCTGGTATGTAGCTCTCAGATGCCTGCATGTAGCTCTCAGATGCCTGTATGTAGCTCTCAGCTCTGCCTGTATGTAGCTCTCAGCTCTGTATGTAGCTCTCAGCTGCTGTATGTAGCTCTCAGCTGCCTGCATGTAGCTCTCAGCTCTGTATGTAGCTTTCGGCTGCCTGTATGTAGCTCTCAGCTCTGTATGTAGCTCTCAGCTGCCTGTATGTAGCTCTCAGCTGCCTGTATGCAGCTCTCAGCTGCCTGTATGCAGCTCTCAGCTGCTGTATGTAGCTCTCAGCTGTGTGTGTAGCTCTCAGCTGCTGTTTGTAGCTCTCAGCTGTCTGTATGTAGCGCCCAGCTGCTGTATGTAGCTCTCAGCTGCTGTATGTAGCTCTCAGCTGCTGTTTGTAGCTCTCAGCTGCCTGTATGTAGCTCTCAGTTGCTGGTATGTAGCTCTCAGCTGCTGTATGTAACTCTCAGCTGCTGTTTGTAGCTCTCAGCTCTGTATGTAGCTCTCAGCTCCCTGTATGCAGCTCTCAGCTGCCTGTATGTACAGAATCTTAGCTTTCCGGAAAAAATCATTGTAATTAGAGGGATCACAAGTCAATTCATCCGTCTAAGTAATGAGGTATAGATTGTCTTACTACGATAGTTGGGTCGTGCTTCTTGCAGGAGTCGTAGAGAATTAGTGAACTAGGAAGGTGGGAGAAAGGTGGAAAGGCACCGCATGAGGAGGTTTCCTCCTTATCCCGTAAACCCCAAAGGCTGAGAAACTTCCAGGTTTTCCGACTGAGATAAATCGCCACACAGGAAGAAGGGTAAGCAAAATTTTTGGAGTAGAGAAGGGCGCCGCAGCGAGCCGTGATGGCCGACTATCAATTTCTTCAATCACAAGCGTTTCGAATTCAATCTACGGCGTCGAGCTTGCCGTTAGTGAAGGGGATGTTAGTCTCCGGATAGCTGTGGCTCTGGTCGTCAACTTCCACCACCTCAATGCCTCCCAAGACGGAGGTGGGTCGAGGGCGTCTCTGCTCCATGCCGGGGTTGGTAGTGAAGTTATCAGCGAGGTGGAGAGCGGGGCTGAGACCGTTAGCTAGCGACCGAGGGCGCCCCGTGTGGTATCTGGTGCGAGGATTGGCGCGTCCTTCCAGCGTGTACACGTTGGCCGGGCTGGTCTTCTGACGGTTGATGGAGTCGACGGTGCCAGCCTCTGGCCGGATAGTGGACCGGTACGACGGGTAGTACGACCGTCGCGTCGTGGAGTAGGAGTAAGAGTCGTAGCGGAGGGTCCCGCAGCACGACCGGCTCTTGACGATGGCCAGGAAGCCGTTGCGGTACTTCTTGTTGAAAAAGGCGTAGAGAATGGGGTTGATGCAGGAATTTGATGATCCCAGCCACTGAGCTATGGGTGTGATGATGGCCAAGATCGCTCCCTCCATCTCCCCAAGCTCATCACCCAGCTGAAATAGGAAAATAGGTCCCTAGTTATGTGTGTAAGAGAGAGGAAGAGAAGAAATGACTGAATGAATACTACATGCACATAGTCTTAACAAAGACGTCATATTATTTGCTAATATGTAAATGATTCGAGGGTAATTTCTGATGTTATTTTCTCGGTGTTATTCTACTTGCTGTTTGTAGACTATGTTGAGGAGATATTACTGAACTATATATTACAGTGAGAACAAGTGACGTCCAGTGACGCCCCGTGACGCTCAGAGACGTCCAGTGACGCCCCGTGACGCCCAGAGACGTCCAGTGACGCCCCGTGACGCCCAGAGACGTCCAGTGACGCCCCGTGACGCCCAGAGACGTCCAGTGACGCCCCGTGACGCCCAGAGACGTCCAGTGACGCCCCGTGACGCCCAGAGACGTCCAGTGACGCCCCGTGACGCCCAGACACGTCAGTGACGCCCCGTGACGCCCAGAGACGTCCAGTGACGCCCCGTGAA